AGGTATAGTCAGCCCCCTAGCCCTGTTCCCTTTGAGGCCTGGTCTACACTTGAAAGTTTCCCTGGTAGAGTTTGTCGATTAGGGGGTGCTTTTTACCAAAATAGTTTACCACATAAAGCCACAACAGTGAACACAGTGATAGTGATAAAAAAGTGGCTTGTACCAGTATAGTTATTCCACTACTTGTACAGAATTACCTCTACAAGTATAAATATACCAACAGAACTGTGTGCACAGGAGAGGATTGTACTGCTTTAGCTACAGTGGTCTAAATAAAGCTGCACAACTTTGTAGCTTAGACAAAACCAAAGAAAGAAAGAAAGAAAGAAAGAACTTTTCTTTCCAGATGTATTCTGTAGGTCAGTTTGCCTATTACAGCTTTTTGGTAAATGCTTTAGGACAGCGTCTACTAATATTTATGTACATTCCCTTTAAAACAATCTCAGTCAGGACGTAAATGCAAAGCCATTTCCAAGGGTGACAGACAGTAGCTGACACCTTTCCCCTGTCCTAGGTCAGCCTATCATTTGGGCATCTTCATCTCCATACTTCCTAATGGCATTTGTACCCCACAGCTGCCTTCCACAAAGCCAGCAGGGAGAGTTGTAATAGGGTGCCAGGCCAGCTGTGTCCCATAGATTTAACAAATTACCTCCTTTGCATTAATGCAAACATGTGGCCAACCTTTCATCAGCCTGCTAAAGTGCCAGCAGCCCAACAGGGGGCATGCAGATGGAAATGCTGCGGGGTGAGAATGGACCGCACTGGAACTGGAGTGGCAGGGTGGTCTTGCAGACTGCGTGCTGCCAAATGACTCATCACAAAGATGGGGGACTTTGCTCCAAGGGACAAACGCTGCTCATCTTAGCCACCTGGGTGGCTCCAAGAAAGCTTTAATCCATAGAAATACCCAGCCACCAAGTAAAACTAGACTTACACATGGCTATTCACAGCATCTAGCTGGGGCTTAGGTGTGTACATCTGTATACAGTAATGGACAAAACTCTTCATAATAATGCAGTTCCACCCAAAATACACATATGAGTTCACTCACACACACGTACTCACACTCACATGCATGCTAAAACACCTATGTACACAGAGTAACATGCCTGAATGCTAACACACATGCATATCCACACACTCTAACATGCCTGCATGCTAACACACATGCATACACACATATATCAAACACAACAAGCAAACTATAAAATGAGATGAGTCCAATAGAGCAGCTGCCAACTGCACCCAGGAGAGAAACCACATTTCAAAGGTTAAATTTGCTTACCATAGCTCGCTCTCCTTTTTTACCTTTTTATTCATTGCCTGTCAAACTAAAGCTGAATTCACACCCCCTGGGTTCCTGAGAGTTATGATTATTACAAAACATCTATCCAGTCCTGTAGATGTATTCAGTGCTTTACCAACACAGCCCCTTCCCTGAGAGCTCATATGATTATCCAACCAGAGGACAGTGAGACAACATTCCCATGTCAGGTGCCTTACAAATAAATATATATAAAAGAGGGGGGAGAAATGATCCATCCCTTTATTCCTAAATAAACAGGTGACAATTCTCTTTTTAATGGAGTAATATTAGAGGAGGCAGTGTGGTCTAGTGGTTAGCGCACTGGATTGGAAGTCAGGAGAGCTGGATTCTATTCCTGGCTCTGCTAGTGGTCTGCTTGGTGACAGTCATCAAGTCTCTTCACTTCTCTGTGCCTCAGCTTCCCCATCTGTAAAATGAGAATAATGATACTGACCTGCTCTGTAAAGCACTTGGAGATCTACTGCTGAAAAGCGCTAACAGCTAGGCATTCTTCTTTATATGGAATTTAGCATTTTATAGGATTCCCCACCTGCGTATGACACAATTAATTATTTTACACAGCTCCTCCTCCCCAGCAGATAAAGCACATACCCACAGCACCAGTTCCCATCCTTCAGCTGCAGAGACCATAGAGGCACTGGCTGTCGCAATCTAATCAACTTTTAATAGTAAACACTCAAGAGGGGTGTGCGCTACCATCCAGGCCATGAGACACACAGTTCCTGACACAGCAAAGGAACAATGAGGGCAGGAAAAATTGTAATAGTTTTTGTGGGAAATTAACATTTTTTTCTTTTTTGTCAATATATTTTCAAATTTTTCCATTTTCAGTTGTCCCTTCTGTCCGCTCTCCCCACCACCACCATCTTTTCTGGTACCACAGTGGAAGTGCCAGAGAACACAGGCACAGAGAACCCCCTCAGGTTAAATCAATGTAGGTATTTATAGACTGTAATAAAGCCATCCCTGAACCTTCTCTTTGTTAAAACTAAATCGATGGAGCTCCTTGAGTCTATCACTATAAGGCATGCTTTCTAATCCTTTAATCTTCCCGTGGCTCTTCTCTGAGCCCTCTCCAATTTATCAACGTCTGTCTTGAACTGTGGGCACCAGAACTGGACCCAGTATCCCCGTAGCTGTCACACCAGTGCCAAATACAGAGGTAAAATAACCTCTCTACTCTTCCTTGATGCAAGCCTATCTCTAGAATCAAAGATGGTTAGAATGACTTTGAAGCTGAGCAATCATACACCATGGTGGTGAGTGCAGTATAAAAAGCCTAGGTAGACAGAGAGAGAGAGAGAGAGAGAGAGAGAGTAGATCTCTTGTATGCTATCCGGTTGCTGTCTTCTGTTCATTGGGGCATTTGCTTGGCTCCATATGATCCTGATATTGAACCAGGGACCCCAGAAAGGGCCATTTGTGATGCTTTGTTTCAGCCTCTCTCTCTCTCCCCTGTCACCTCTACAGGTGAGCATTCAGCATGAATGCAGGTTCACACGTTTGTGACCCTCATTACCAGCCAGGCACCCAGAGGAGGAGCAGGCTGTGAAATCTGTCACTGCACAAGTTTCGCGAGTGGTGCTGAAGGCCACCCAGGAGGGCCACCCTTGCACTGGCTGCCTTCTCAGGAGGCAAGTGGGGCATGAAGAGCTTAGCTGCATGGAGAAACTGGGTAGCAAGAGCCTGAACTTGGCACGGGGGCACAACTGCCTCCCGTTCCTTATGGCTAGATGGGAAGCATGTCCCAAACCATGTTTCGTTTGTTGCATGGGAGCACAGTATGGGACAGGTGGAGAACCTGTGCCCCAGAAATACTTCATTAACCCCCCTGCCACCAACCCAGCCTATGGCCATGGGAATGACGGGGATGCTGAGGGTAGCTCCCTAAGCGTATCGTTCGAAGGTACTTCCTTCCTTCCTTCCTTCCCCCACTGTCTGCCTTGTCAGTCTGGATTACAAAACTCCTTGAGGTGGGGACTGGGTGTACAGTGTAGGAGAGTTGTAGGATGTTATATGTCTCTGTTGCACGTGGTGAGGGAGCAGTGGGGTGAGTGAATAGGGAGGGGCGATCCAGGGGGTGAGGTGGGTGCATGGAGGGGGTTGGTGGAAGCGGTGGGATGTGGGATGGGAGGGGTCAGTGCATGGGATGGGAGCTGGGGGGCAGTGGGACTGGGATGGGGAGGGATCAGACCTTGGGGAAGGGGCTGAGGGTGGCAGTGGGAGGGGTCGGGGTATGGGGAGGAGGCAGGGAGCACTGGGATGGGGGAGGGGCTGGGGGGTGGCAGTGGGAGGGGTCAGGGTATGGGGAGGGGGCCAGGAGCAGTGGGATGGGGAGGGGCGGGGGGGCAGTGGGAGGGGTCGGGCTGTGGGAGGGGAGGGGGGCAGTGGGATGGGGAGGGGCTGGGGCAGTGGGAGGGGGTCGGGCTGTGGGGGGGGGGCAGTGGGATGGGGAGGGGCTGGGGGCAGTGGAGGGGTCGGGGGTATGGGGAGAGGCGGGGGGGCAGTGGGTGGGGGTCGGGCTGTGGGGGGGGGGGCAGTGGGATGGGGAGGGGCTGGGGGCAGTGGAGGGGTCGAGGTATGGGGAGGGGGCGGGGGGGCAGTGGGATGGGGAGGGGCTGGGGGCAGTGGGAGGGGTCGGGCTGTGGGGAGGGGAGGGGGGCAGTGGGATGGGGAGGGGCTGGGGGCAGTGGAGGGGTCGAGGTATGGGGAGGGGGCGGGGGGCAGTGGTATGGGGAGGGGGGGGGGGCAGTGGGAGGGGTCGGGGTATGGGGGAGGGTTCGGGGGGGCAGTGGGATGGGGGAGGGGCTGGGGGGCAGTGGGAGGGGTCGGGGTATGGGGAGGGGCGGGGGGCAGTGGGATGGGGAGGGGCGGGGGGGCAGTGGGAGGGGTCGGGGTATGGGGAGGGTTCGGGGGGGGCAGTGGGATGGGGAGGGGCTGGGGGCAGTGGGAGGGGTCGGGGTATGGGGAGGGGCGGGGGGCAGTGGGATGGGGAGGGGCTGGGGGCAGTGGGAGGGGTCGGGGTATGGGGAGAGGCGGGGGGCAGTGGGTGGGGTCGGGCTGTGGGGGGGGGGCAGTGGGATGGGGGAGGGGCTGGGGGCAGTGGAGGGGTCGAGGTATGGGGAGGGGCGGGGGGCAGTGGGATGGGGGAGGGGCTGGGGGCAGTGGGAGGGGTCGGGCTGTGGGAGGGGAGGGGGGCAGTGGGATGGGGAGGGGCTGGGGGCAGTGGAGGGGTCGAGGTATGGGGAGGGGCGGGGGGGCAGTGGTATGGGGAGGGGCGGGGGGCAGTGGGAGGGGTCGGGGTATGGGGAGGGTTCGGGGGGGCAGTGGGATGGGGGAGGGGCTGGGGGCAGTGGGAGGGGTCGGGGTATGGGGGAGGGGCGGGGGGGCAGTGGGATGGGGAGGGGCGGGGGGGCAGTGGGAGGGGTCGGGGTATGGGGAGGGTTCGGGGGGGCAGTGGGATGGGGAGGGGCTGGGGGCAGTGGGAGGGGTCGGGGTATGGGGAGGGGCGGGGGGGCAGTGGGATGGGGAGGGGCTGGGGCAGTGGAGGGGTCGGGGTATGGGCAGGGGCGGGGCAGGGGGCGGGGTCAGCGATCGGCCGCGCCTACGCCCTGCCGCCGCCGCTGTCCCGCCCCCCCCCCGGGGCCGCGCGGGGGGCGGAAGGGGCGTGTCCCGCCGGCTGGTTCCGGGTCGGGGGGCCGGCGGGCGCGCGGGCAGCGCCAGTCGCCATGTCCGGGAGCTGCCGCCGGGGCCAGACGGCGAGCCGGGCCATCCCCGCCAAGCGCCTCAGCCTGCCCGACGGGGCCGCGCTGCCGCCCGGCGACTACAGCACCACGCCGGGGGGCACGGTGTTCGGGACCACGCCGGGCGGTGAGCGGGGCCGGGGCCGGGCGGTGAGCGGGGCCGGGGCCGGGCGGTGAGCGGGGCCGGGGCGAGCGGGGCCGGGCGGCGAGCGGGGCCGGGGCCGGGCGGCGAGCGGGGCCGGGGCGAGCGGGGCCGGGGCGAGCGGGGCCGGGGCCGGGGCCGCCCGCTTGGGATCGAGCCGGGCTGCCAAATGCACAACACAAATGAATGGGGGGGGGGGGGAGGATTTTTTTTACTTAATCTTACACGCTAGCGACCTGGGGAGGAGCCGGTTAGGGTAGTGGGCTTTAAAAAAAAAATTCAGGCAGAAGCCTGACGCTTCAATCGGCGTCTCTTTAAAAAAACAAATAGCAGCAGCAGTTGGGCTGGTCTAAGAAAGTTTGGACACAGAAACCGAAGGTCTTGGCGTCTTTTGGGCGAGGCACCCGTGTTGTTCTCGGGGAGCACAATCAGCAGGACCTTAGGTGCCTCTTCCAATCGTTGGGCCACGGGTGCAGGAGAGTTAGGAGCCACGGATTATTCCTCAGTAGGTGTTTGCATGCCGTGGTAAGTGACAGCTGTCACTCTCACATGTTTCACCCCATTGATGGGGGAAAGTGAATGCGACGGGAAGAGTGTCGTAAAGGCAAAAAAACTGAACACATTCTTAAATGAAAACCCTGTTTTGGCTAGAAGAAGAAGTTAAATACTCAGAAGGCTGAAAGATAATCAGTATAGAATAGGACAGATGATTAAAAAATAGCAAAAAGGGATGGGGAAATTTTTCAAAATATCTAGTCACTAGTAGTAGCCTTTATTTTCAAGAATTCTATTTAATTTCTCAGTGATCTGGGTAATCCGGAGAATTAATATTTTAATGCATGCCTCTTTATGGATTGAAAAGTATAGGGTGAGTTAAAAAGTTCCATGTAGTAATGCAGTTTGGTTCTGCTTGTTATCTGTTAACTTGCATTTTATTGCTGCTGGGTAGTTACCATATTTTTATGTTCTCATGCCTGCTCCCCTGTAATTTATTAACAATGGAGTTTTCATCTCTCTTTCCAAAACTACTATCAATAGTCTAAAATAAAATTCCTTCAAACCTCACTTTAAATGTACTGATCTGTAGACCAGCTTGAATTAAGAAATTGCTAATATTTCTTAATATAGTATAGTCTCCCTGATCGTCCTTGTGCTGATCCATAAACCCAGTAGTTATTATGAAAAGACCATTGGACTGTTCAGTAGCAGAGACAGTTCTCAAGTGCAGTCCTGTTTTACATAAATACTTGTTCCTTTGGAAGGTTTAATTAAAAAGCTTTAACAAAATGTCATCATCCCTTTACAGGTGTACTGTAAAGTATTGTAAACAATCCATCAAGTTGCACTATTCAGAATAAAGGAGCAAATTTAATTAGCCATGGAACACCCATGACTAATTTTACAGAGCCAAATGTTCTCCACTTTAATCTCCCAAGTAGTTCCATTGAGGCAAACAGGATTTAGTGCCAAAATCAGAAATCCCCAGTAACCGTCCTGGCCGTTGATGCAAATTATCACAGTTTGGTTCTGTTGGTCTTAGAGGCCTGGTCTATACCTAAAACTTAGGTTGATCTAGCAGTGTCACTGATGGCTTGTCTACACTACCGCACGGGGTCAATCTAAGATACGCAACTTCAGCTACGTAAATTGCATAGCTGAAGTCGACGTACTTAGATCTACTTACCGTGCTAAGTCGACAGCTAATGCTCTCCCATCGACTCCACTTGCACTCCTCTTTCTGGTGGAGTATCAGAGTCGACGGAAGAGTGCTCAGTGGTCAATTTATCGCGTCTATACTAGACCACGATAAATTGACCGCTGCTGGATCAATCGCTGCCCACCAATCCGGCGGGTAGTGTAGACAAGCCCTCAGACTGAGGGACATAGTTAAGCCCACCTAAGCACTGGTGTAGACACTGCTAGGTTGGAGGAAGAATTCTTCTATCAACCTAGCTACCCCTTTTGAGAGGGTGGATTTACGACAGTGACAGAAAAACCCCTTCTGTCTCTTTAGTAAGTGTCTGCCTTGCAGCAACATAGCTGCAGCTCTGCTGCTGTGCTATAGCGCTTGTAGGAGAGACAGACAGACCCGTAGTTGGTTCTGAGGAAGTTTGGAAGGGCAAATACGTTCTCTGTGGCTTTTGGAGATTATTACCCTGAGATTTAAAATTGGTTTGACTGTTTATGATCTCCCTGTTTCTGATACGTTCCAAGCAAACTCAGTACGTGTTTTCTTCCTTTACCTTGGGTGAAAATGAAAGAATTGGAAAAATCCAGATATGAACCCCAGGGAGTCATGTTAAGTCATTATGGGATGATACTGGAATATGATTTCTCAGAGAAAACCACAGGAGAGCTTGACTATTTTGTGTTCCTGAAATAGTCACTTTAGTCTCATGTCAATATTATTACAGAATGAGTGGGCTTTTAGTTTTTGAATAATTTATTTAAGGCCACTGATTAGGAAACGCTTCACAGCTACCAACTTTTGCAGGCTCTGTGGCAATAGGCTAAACTCCATTCTGCAGAAAGAAAGGGAAATAATTTGCTTTTTGAGTCATTGGACGTGTGCGAGTTAGCTCTCCTTTACTTCTTGACCCCTAGCTCTGGCTTTACGATGTCTCCACTGCATAGAGTCTAACAAAGATGAGCTCTTCCTTGACTAACGTGTCCTGAGGTGACCCTGGGAGAGCTGTAACCCTGAGATGTACTGCCGGCGTCCCTCATGTACACTGTTGGAAGTGGAGTTCCCTTTATCTAACTTGCTGTTTTCAGTGGCATCAGGAAAACACCCTCCAGTCATCCAAAGGAGTTAGTGAGTCCCCAGAATGTACTTTAGTGAATAGAAATGTTCCTCCTGGGAGAACATCTGGGCACTTCTTTGGGCCCTCTGGAAAGCCAGGATTCTCCATTCGCAGGAACATGTGGGCAGAGATGTTCACATTGGGCCGGAGTAATTCCTGGGTCTGTAAAATTCAGCTGCTGAAGTAGATTTAAAACCTTTGAATTGTGGTTTACTGTGGGTCCAAGCTTAGCCTTGGTGCCACCAAAATGAGCTAAGGATTCAGATGCGCCATCTCGGAACTGTTACCTGATCCTTCTGTGCTCCAAGAGCCCCATCAGAACGGGATCAGAGAGCAGGGGAAAGGACCCACTACCCTGTGGCAGCACAGGAGGTGAAAAGTGGTTTTCATTTGCAGCAGTCGGGAACAAAAAAATAAATAAAATTAAATCAGACCTCAGCACCAAGAAGTGAGAGTGGGAGGGTTGTGGGGAAGAAACAGTCATAACCTTTAAACCTACGGAGACTGTTCTCTTTAAAAAGAAAAGGAGTACTTGTGGCACCTTAGAGACTAACCAATTTATTTGAGCATAAGCTTTCGATGAAGTGAGCTGTAGCTCACGAAAGCTTATGCTCAAATAAATTGGTTAGTCTCTAAGGTGCCACAAGTACTCCTTTTCTTTTTGCGAATACAGACTAACACGGCTGTTACTCTGAAACCTGTTCTCTTTAATATTCCACTAAGGGCTTGTCCTGGATCCTTGCCAGGGCACATGGATATTGTCCTTCTCTCAGTAAATTCCACATCAGCTAATTGCTTGGGAGCTGTGGCCAGCTCTGCTTCAGGCACTCAGTTCCTTGATGTAAACACACATCATGTAGAATGTTCTTGTCCGTGGGTTGAAATGAGCAGTGGAGAGTGGGTGATTTTGAGTGTAGCACTCTGATCGCTGGCAGAGGGATTTGCCAGTGAGAAGAATGTTTCTACAGTTTTTTATGGGGAGTGTGTAGTGCTCTGGGTTGGGAAGGCTTCTCTGTGCTGTGTATGCTTCCAGCTCAGTATACCCACACCACACCATACAGTTTTTGTGGCTGGGGGGAGGCTGGTTACCTTGTCCATCTTGACCAGAAGGCAGCTGAGAGAATAAAGTATGCTTGGCCATGCTGTGAGAATGCTGAATGACCCCTAAAATGAACCAAAGGCAGAAGCTGAAATCACGCATGGCTTTTTAATGAGTTCAGCAGCTGGGGAGCTGCAGCAGGTTGTCACTGTCAGGGCCTGAGCCTGCATTCCTTGTCACCCTACACTCCCCCGAGAGTCAGTGGGAGCCTGGGGTGAGGTTGGACCCAGGGACCATACAGTTAACAGGTTAGAGCCATTAAACTTTTGAAGACAATAACTGCTGAGCCAGAAACGTGAGCACTTTCTAGGATTTAGTAACTTGTGCATCACTTCCAAGAGGTATATCATTGTCCTTAAGAAGGAAACTGATAGGTCAGGATGTCAAATTCTGGAAAAAAAACTCTCTTAATTAGGAGTCTGTAGTGCACTAGTCTAAGTTTGCTAGGGTTTCAAGGAGCTTTCTTTGTTGTTAGGAATGCATCCGATGAAGTGAGCTGTAGCTCACGAAAGCTTATGCTCAGATAAATTTGTTAATCTCTAAGGTGCCACAAGTACTCCTTTTCTTTCTGCTATTCAGAACCCCCTGTGCATATCTGGGGCTCTATTGGAAATGAGGGGCAAACCCATGAATCAGCTGTCGTGGGACAGGGAGTAAAGCTTGCTTTGCAGAAGCTGATGCAGGTTATTTCACCAAATGGTTCTTATAATAGCGTGAATTGAAACTGAGATTTTTTTGTTAACAGATTTGCGTGCTTCTCTGATAGAAGAGGCCCTACCATCCCCTTGTGTTGACAACTGTTGTAACAAATCAAAGCATGGTATACAGGGTATTTAGTTCCATAAGTAATAGCTCAAGGCATGTGACTCTGCGTGAATGAATGTAAACCAGGAATTGCAGTTCTTCAGCCTGTTATGAAATGTACTCCTAGTACCTAGTATACTAACTGCAGTTCTAGGAACCCGTCCTTATTTTGTAAGTCTTCCAGCTACCAAAGTCTATAACTGCAGGCTAGGGTTGTTTCTTTACCCGAATCCTGATTAATTGCACTTGTACTGGAGCATAGATCTGAACTGGCGACATTGCTGGTATAATTCTACCTCCTTGATCTGTAGAAACTAGTCACAATTATCTTCAATTTTGAAAAGGTTCCAATGTCTTGGAAAATCATTAGCATAATTTCCTCGAAATTTAATATCTAGTTACATGACTTTACAGCCATGATATGGAATATAGGAGTGTGCCTAGCATTCCAGGAGAGACGTTATCTCTGATTTCTTCTTGTCCACATGCATACCACCAGCTGAGATCATGGGGGGCTGGAGGGAGGGAAGGGATTCCTTTGTCCTATTTGGTTGGATGGGGGTAACGTATTAAATGTCCAATCCTGAAATGAGAGGTTGCAGCCCTCGCCTCGGAGTGCTGTTTTGAATTATTTCTGTATTATGGATGTTTTTACTCTGGTTTGATATTTTTCCAACATCAGATGCCTTGGTAGGGGAATGGGCGGCTCAGCCTACACAATGTTCCTTCTAAATCCTTGCAGGGTCTCTTGGTCTGAACTCTGCCGTCACCTCAAGGGTTGCTTTCTGCCCACTAATAAAGATGTAATTTTATTCTGCTCTAACAAACCAGCAACAATAGGGTGGGGTCCCATTCACCACTAAAATAAACAGCAAATAAAATGGGAGTGATGTCTTGGTTTTAGTTCTGTAATCCTGACAAATGTAAACAAAGTTTTCTGAGCTGGACAGCCAGCCAAGACCGCACAAAGGCAATACCGCCATGCAGAAAACTCTTCTCCAATAATATTAAACATCTGACTTAACAAAGAGAGGCAATTTCCACTACAAATTTCCTGATCTATCTGCTTAAACATGTGGGCTTTCAGAATTCTAGGTAGTCTCAGAAAAGCATGTGAAATTTATGTACTGCAGCCAGAAGGGAGATGGGATGAGACTAACAGAAGCAGTTTAAATCTTAATTTGACTGATTTTTTCCTGGTTTTGCAGGAGCGTAAATATTCTTTTCATGTAGACTTTGTAACTAGGTGTTCACTGGGAGGCAGTGTGTCCTAGTGCATTGAGCACTGGACCGGGTCCTGCATTCTGTTCCCAGCTCTGCTACTGGCCTCTCTGTGGCTCAGTTTTATGTAAGTTAGGGCTAATGATACTTGCTTTCCTTGTAAAGCACTTTGAGATATGCTAAAAGCTGACAGTATTTCACATTTTTTCCCCTGTAGGTACAAGAATTATTTATGACCGGAAGTTTTTGATGGAATGCCGCAATTCCCCAGTTGCCAAAGCCTCACCTTGTGACCTTCCAGACATTCCAGGTGTTACCAGTCCAAATGTGGAGGAGTTGAAGATTGAAAACAACCATGTCCACAATTACGAGGAGAAGGTGGGCGTAGGTGAGTGGGCACCCCCTGGCAAAGCCTGAAAATAACTTGCAAGTTGCACCTTTTCTCCTTGGAAAATACACAACAGCACACCCGGACTGGAGCCAGAGTATTGTTATAACAGCTCGGGAGGAATTGAGGCTTGTGTGTGGATTGTGGATACAGGCTAAATCAAGATATCTCTGGGTCTGACATTGTTCTTATACCGACCGCATCACTGTAGTATGAGCACCTTCCAGTAATGCATTAACATCTATCACGCGTGGTTCCTTCTTTCTCTCCCTCTGTCTCATTCATATTAATTTAGCAGCAGTGAAACGTACTGCTGGATTAACAGCCCAGGAGACTGAATTCTCTATCTGTAGAACAGGTGCAGCCCAGCTTTGCCAGTTACGTCCTTTGCTAATGTGCTTCTTCCCTACACCAGAAAGGTATGGGAATTGAGTTTGTGGCCCATACAGTTCTTGATCTCTCTGCAGATATGTCTAGTCTCAAGGACCAATTACTGTAAATTGCACTGTCAGTGTTGTGATGTGGGCATGTGTCCACTGAAAACTAAGAAGGTTGAGTTTCCTAGCTTAGCTCACATCAACTACTGAGCAAGATTTGGCTGGTAACTTTTGGTCACTGTCTCACTCCCCTGACTTCAAATATCAAAACTGATCAGCCTACAAGTCAAAGTAAGATTTGTTCCTCTTCTGAAAAGTTTCTTCTGCATCACTGGCAATAAGGAGCGTAGCAGAGCTGACCATTTATGTCGTTTGCAGTGTTGTAGCCGTTTCGGTCCCAGGATGTTAGAGACAGGGTGGGTGAGGTGATATCTTTTATAGGGCAGTGGAGTAGTAGCATCCTTGCTTATGCTGGCATCCTATCAATAGCAATCATACATGCAACAGTAATTGCATCACGCTGTGCTGACTAAAAATTACATTTGCCTCTTGTTGCGAACAGAAACCCACATTCATGGTCAAATGTGTCATAGGGAAAAGGTAGAAAATACTTCTGTTGTTGTGGATTTTTTTTGAGAAGGGCTCCAAATGAAGAGCGGAATTCTCCTCTCAGATTTGCTCAGATGCATCATGTTTCTGAGGCTCTGTGTGCTCTGTGCTGGCAGAGTAGATGTTCTTTGTGTAGAAGAAGAGCAGAACATCAGACCACCTAAGAGGAATGGTTTTCCCCCTAAGACAGAGCAAGCCTCCATCTCTCACAACAGTTCTCCAGCAAGACTCAATCCCTGTACCCAGCAGGCTGAGAGTTTCCCCAATCTTCACTGCCACATCCAAACTTCTGTGCTCTTGTGAGGCTGCTGATCTCTGAGTGTCACATCCGTGTAGTGTTTGATATTTAACATAGGACTTCATCAAGTACTCACCTGCATTTTTGTCGTTTTTCAACAGGCGAGGAAGCTCAATTTGACATGGACATCTAAAGTGTGTGCCCTGAGAGTGTTTGTCTGGTGAAGAATGGGACCTCGGTGTGAGGGCTCCCACCAGCTAGGCTTTTAGAATAGCCAGGCTTTTCTGAGTGACTTGCTCTTTCCTGCAAAGGGCAGTCCATTCGCTTTGACTGAGAGCAGAACACATTCTATTACGTGAGGACTGAAAGTATCAGCTGATTCATATGGGTATAAATCCATGAGTATGGCTCCTGCTGGCGATGGACAACAGTGAGAGGAAGAAAGCTCTCTATGATTTTTTATTTCATGTTTCTATGCCTTTGTTAATTGGTGTATATCAGTACTGTAAAGGTGACCGAAATGTAATATCAGGGGAGAAATAAAATCATTTAGGGTCTCCAGGTTTGGCTGTTAATGCCGTACTGTGGGTATTTGGTCTTTGCTGAGTATAGCAAGCTAACTGCTGCCTATTACTGAGCTGGAAAGATATACTAGGGCAATCCCACAAACTGGATTGAGGCCAAAGTCTTTCATACAAGGGCCTGGGCCTAAGTGCTCCAAAAAGAGACACTGGGCAGCACCCACTGATGTACCTTAGAGTGTAGGTGATGGAGTTCCCCCTTGGTGTGCCAGAGGATGGACTTGGCTGGGGCCACCAGAATCAGAGACCACCTGGACTACAATCAGAGGGGCTGGGTGCATCCTGCAGCACTTGACCAGCGAATGGGGCTGCCTACCCTGTGTGTCCCTTGTCGTGTGCTTCGGGAGGTGAGGGCAGCCTGGTCTCCTGCTTCTCTTACTTTCCTTGAGCTGGTCCTGTGGGTGGGTGCTCCCACCCCTCCCCTTCCACAACGTGTCATTGGGCCTCTACCCCCACGCCACCTCAGCCAACTGAAAGACATCCAGCTGGTCTGGCTCCAGACTGCGTCCGCAGCACATCTGTACACACTCATGCCCCATAGCATCCCTTTCCTTGCCCTTATGCCCCACACAGGGTGGCAGGACCTGTTGGTGCATGGGGAGGGTGAGGAACTCCAGTGGGCCAGAGTATACTCTGGGCCCACCAGGGATCTTGGTGGCTCCTCCGTGGAACCATGAGCACAGGCGTGTATGTGACATGGTTCACAAATTCCCTGACACTTGTCCCTTCTGCAGTGAGAGGGAGACCCCGGCATACATTCATGTAGCGCATCAGGTTGCAGCCCCTCTGCCAGCTCCTCCCAAACCTCTTCCTGAGGTTCCGGCTGCACTCTTCCCCACACCTGCTGATTTATGGACACCCTATGCAGGACCCCACACTTACAGGACAACCTTGTCAGCCTCCTCCTGGCACAGGCCAGGACCGCTATCAATCACTCCAGGAGGGGTGGGGGCTCTGCAACTTGGGGATTATTTCCAGTCCCTTGTCCAGTCGTGTCTCCGGGCAGTGTCCATTGACTTCTTAGACACCTCTGAGGAGCGGTAGGCCTTCCTGAGGGTTCTCTGCACAGTGTCCTCCTCTAGAGCCCTCATTTTTAACCTGTGACCTCACTCCTATTCCTGTTTTCTCCTTCCTTGTCCCATGGATGCCATTGTGCCCCGGGCTTAATGGTTCCTCCCTGTTAATTGGCAGGGCGGGGGAGGAGCAGGCATTTAGGTTTTGGGGAAGGACCTAGACCTGCCAGGCCTAGTCTTGCAAATAGCACACACTGATAATCCCCATTACAAAACATCTAGAATGCCCCAAAGGCCAGATAGCCTTTTAGGACTGAGGTCACCTTTAATGCTTCCAAGGACTACTAGAAATCCACAACACCCCAATGTCTGGTCACTTGCAAGAGATTGAAACGTCTTCCCAGCATGCTTCCAGAATGAGTTCTCAAGCCCTGTGTCATTAGAGGCTCTGTAGCCATCTTCTCTGGTGGTTCATCCTTTCACAAGCACCCCAAAACACCCCTCTTGCATACAATCACCTCCCCTCCTCCCTCAAAAGAGGATTTAATAGCTTCCTTCTGTAGCAGGGCGAGCCTCAGCAAGCCCACAGGTGGAAGCTCTCTCTAGCCCATCTAGTCTTAAAAGGAGACACCTGCAGCTATGTCTGCTTAAGAGGAGCAATTCAGCAGCTCCTCTGCTCCCAGAGTGGAGTCTGCAGCAAGTCTCCTACCCGCAGTAGGAAGGACCTCAACACCTGTCCCCCATTCTACCTAGCATCATCTTCGAGGTAGGTAAGTCTGAGCCTCCAGTTCAAGTGTATTGATTAGGGACTCCCTGCAATCCCTCTTCAACCAAATCACTAAACCCTTTCATCATATAAATGATGACTGCTTATCCTAGTTCTCTCTCGAGTGTCTCTTCTTTCTGACCTATATTAAAATTCTTGCTTAGAGCTTGTCTTTCACCAGATCACTTTGGTACAGGGCACCAGGCCCAATCCAGCATTTCTGTACTGACAAAGCTAATTGAAATCAATAATTTTGCTGGAGTCAGGACAACTGGATCAGAGCAATGCATGGTAGCAGGTTGCAGACAGCACTCTAGTGTCTTGCTAGCTAGATACTGTCTTTAAATTCTGAGTTTCCTTTATAATTCTCTGCTTTTATTGGGCAGGGATTATTTATAGCTTGACAATAAATACCAGCTTTGACCTGATGTTTAGTTTTCAATGCTGTTGAAGGCACAATGGGCTGCTGGTTTTGTCTGACTGGGTGCTCGAGGGCGGGAGTGAACACAGTGTAAAGCATTGGGATGTGGATTGGAAGTTGGGCTTTCCACAAGACTATCTGGGGGAGAAGGCAGATCATGTGTCTTCATCTGCTTTTTACTGTTGAAAAGTCTGCTAATGAATTACAAAGGACACATCACATTAAACTACTCTGAAACCTGTCATTAAATTACTCTATTACTCTGAGAATTACAAAGGAAACAAAGACAAAAGAAATGACACCGATCAAACTGCATTGAAGATAAGGTTTGAAATGAAACACTTGCAATCTGACAGGAACAGGTATTCAGTTGTCATTCCATCCCTATCTTGACACTAGTGCTGAGCACTTGTGTAGGGTTTTAATGTGATCTGTATCCAGGGAACTTTTCCTACCATTAGCAGAATGTGTACAATAGAGCAAGTTACTACTGGAACTTACTGCCTCTCTTTGTTAATTGGTAAATCCATATGCACCTCACTTGGCTGAGTTTTCTTTCTTTCGTTCAAGGGCTGGTAGCTATGCACAAGAGTTGATCGTATTCATGTTTTCCAAAAGGAATCCAATCTTCCGGTCACTGATCTAACCAGCAGAGAACTGGGGGTAACAGCTTAGGTGCTTTGTGTCTGTGCTGAGATGGCTTTTCTGGAGCAGTATCCAGACTGGGCATTAAAGATACCAGCACAAATATCAGAACCACCAGAGCAGAACTTAACATTTCAACTATCCTATCCAAATTACGGATGTTGTAGAGAGAAACTAGAGGGATTAGCACATGACATGGACTATTTGCTCTAAATAAACACCCATAAACAGAAAAGGAGTACTTGTGGCACCTTAGAGACTAACCAATTTATTTGAGCATGAGCTTTCGTGAGCTACAGCTCACTTCATCAGATGCTTTCAGGCCTGCTCCGTGCAATTTCTCAACCAATGTAACTATTTTGTGAGGGGGTGGGGGGGGGTTGGTTTATTTGTTTTTAAATTGAAATAGTTACACTGGTACAACCCGGAGGGGGACAGTTCTCTCAGTACAAAGGTGTCTTAGAGCATTACAGCATTTTCACTTTCCCAAAACTATACTGGTCTAAAACTGCGTCTATACGAGGGGATGCTGTACTGTTTTACCTGCACTGGTATAGTTAAAGCAATATAACTTCTGTGTGTAGACAAGCCCAGGCTGTGCACTCATTATCTTGAGCGGCCAGTCAAGTTTGGCTCTGCAGAGAACTGGATAACATGAGTTTCCATACACCAGGATGCTCAGGTCGCATTTCAAAAACAGGGTTTTTTCAAACCAGCTGAGGGACACTGGCAGACAAATGACAAGGTGAGCCATTTACAAAACAACTGTTACATGTTTGACACTTCAGGGTTTTGCATAGACTGCAGGATAAGCCCATTCTAAGCAGATTTTTCTCTATTAGAGAGCATGCTGTGATGTTTATCCAGCATCAGGTTACAATAAGGAGCACAGTTATTAAGGATTTAATGCAACCTAAGTGTATCTAACCTGAACTATCAAAAGCAGCTCTGTTGTAGGAATACTGGTTACAGGAGTCATACGTGATGTTCCTTCCCCTTTCCAAGGGGTGACAATAGATCTGCTACAGGAAATGTTGCACAGTTTATAGGACAGCCTGCAATAAGCTGCTACAAAAATAAAAAGGCATGTCCAGCTGATTTGTCTCTGGAAAGATGGTCTCATTTTTTGTGAGAGTTTCTCAGCCCATGGGATTCTTTAACAAAGCTCAGCTAGGAAGGGATGTTTGATACTGTAGGTGTTTGTTTTGGTGCAAAAGTGGCTGGACATTTATTCCCATTAAAATCTTTATGTGCTCCCAGTTGGACTTTTCAGATGAGCACTGCCTCTTGCTAGAAGTAATCACGGTAAATTAACTTTCACTGATTCTGTTTCCCACATCATCTACAATAGCCACATTGAACATATAGCAAATACTTCCAAATATCGTTAATCCTTTCTGCAATTACGCATAGGCAGATATGTCACTTCTGAGTATAGGTCAAAGATTTTCAAAAGTGCCCAGTGACTTTGGGTGTCTAATTTGAGACATCTTAACAGGCCCTACATTTTAGAAAGTGCTGAGCTCCCCTGCGATCCAAACTTTTTAAGGTTCTCATGTTGGGCACCCAAAATCACTGTTCACTTTTAAAAATCTTGGTCATAAGAGCTCACATATCAAACGAAGGAAGTATTATGGCCTGTTATACAGGAGATCATAGTAGATGATCACAGTGGTCCTTCCAGGATTTATAATCTATGAATCAGACAGTTGGCCCCAGAGCCACAAAGGTATTTAGGCTCCTAACTTCCACTGAAATAAACAAATGAAAGTTAGGAGCCTAAATACCTTTGTGGATCTGGGCCTTGGCCCTTGCCTCATCAAAGCCAGTGTAGCCTCCACAGGTGATTCATACTTGATGGTTCAAAGAAAGGCAAAGTATCACCGTGAAGCACCTAGTCAAGTATGAAATGCTCTAGTGGAAGGCAGAATTCCTTCCTGACTCCTGGAGCGATCAGCCCTGAAGCCTGAGATTTGATTACCTATATATTTTCCTTATCCTAAATTGCTTAGAAATTGTGTTTTGCAAGCTGTAAAGAGCTTGGTCATATCCAAAGCATGTACAGAAAACTACAATTGATCAAATAAATCACTGAATAATTTTTTGGTAGATTCCACGATATCTTTTAAATAAGC